GGAAAGGGAGGAGAGGGGAGGGGAGGGAAAGATAATATTTAAATAAACTGAAACATATTCTTTGGATCAGAAGACTTAATATTGTTAAAGTGACAATAGTCCCCAAATTGATCTGTAGCTTCACCTCAACCCCTATCGATATCCCAGCTTGCTTTTTGGCTGAAATTGACGAGCTGATTCTATAATTTATAAGGAATCTCAAAGGATCCAGAATAACCAAAACAATATTGAAAAATAAAGAACAGCGTTGGTGGATTAACATTTTCCAATTTCAAAACTTACTATAACACTGAGGTAAGCAAGTAGTGTCGCACTGTATAGCATGTACATTACAGATCAATGGACTAGAATCGAATGTCCAGAAATAAACCGTTATGTTTATAATGAATTACTTTTTAATAATGTGTCAAGACAACGCAATGGGAAAAGAATAATGAATTCAACAAATGATGCATGGACAACCGGACATGCACATGCAACACAATGAATTTGAATTCCTCTATCACAGCATGCATAACAACTAACTTAAAACGGATCACGGATGTAAATGAAAAGCTAAAATTATAATAATCCTAGAGGAAAACGTACGAGTAAATCTTTAAGATCTTATTGTAGGCAGTGGTTTCTTAGATATGACCCCAAAACCACAAAAGAAATTGGACTTAAATATTTTTGTGCTTCAAATATCATCAAGAAAGTGAAAACACAACCCGCAGAAGCAATAAAAATGCCTGTAAGTCATATATCCGATCAGAGACTTCTATCTAGGATACATAAATAATGCAATTCAATGGTTAAAAAAAAAGATAAATAGCCTAATTTTCCAAAGACTCAAGTATCTTAATATACATCTTTCCAAAGATATAGCCAATAAGCATCTGAAAATATGTTCAACGCCATTTGCCAGGTGCACAAAACCAAGATAGCATGAGGAGACGCTACAGGGACTCTGCTGCTTCACAGACATGAAGCGTTGGTGAGAGCTTAGGCAGCCGCCTTTGGGAATTTCACATCCCGGCCGCCCCACGCATGGTGCGCTCGTGTTCAAACTTAGCCGAGATCGTTACACGCGATTGAGTGTGTGCCCGTCAGACCCTGCGCTGCCGACTGGGATGGGGAAGGCGGGAGCCGGGAGTGGGCGGGGACCTGGGGGTCAGGCCCCAGGCGCGGGAAGCCGCCCAGGGGCGCGCAAAACCTTCTCCATATTCCACACCCCTTCCAAGCATTTGCCTGCCGCGATTTAGAGAGCCGACCCGTGATCCCTGGCATCCCCTAGACAGCCTCGCACGTCCAGGTGTGGTGACCCCGTCCAGCTTGCCTCCTGCGAGCAATGACCATCTCCTGGCCTGGGTGCGGTCTCGGCGCCCGCCTGCCCCCAGGCCAGAAGCCGCAGGTCCAGCCAGTGAGGACGCCGGCGCTGAGGGAGCCTCTGTGCTCCAGAATCCAAACTTTGTATCAGCGCTGGGGTGGCCTCCTCCAGGAAGCCCTCCTGATTCCCCCGTGGGTCGCTCTTCCCCTACAGACTCCCGGAGCACCCCTGCTCTAAATACCGCGGCGTGGCACTGAGAACTTTCGGAGAGCAGAGGCTGCGGCTAGATTTCTAGGGGATCCCCGCAGCTCCACCCCAGCGCCTACAGGCGAAGCCAAGGCAGGCAGGCAGGACAAAGGGTGGAAGCAATGCAGGAGAGACCGAGTGAACGAATGGATGAGGGATGGCAGCCGAGGTTGCCCCAGTCCCCTGGCTGCAGATACAGACACCTTGCTGAGGAGGAGAGACCGAGGAGCGAGGCCCCCTGCCCAGTCCAAGGCGAGGTCCAGCGCAGTGTGCGCCGCGTGAAGGGTGGGAGGGAAGTACTGTGGGGGCCGGGGCGGGGGCGGCCGGGAGCCGGGGGCCAGGCCGGGGCGGGGCCAGGACCGGGGCCCCGACCAGTGGTGGGAGGAGGCTGCGGCGCCAGATTCGGACGCCTGAACAGCCGAGCCGAGGCTCCCTGCGCTCGCTGCGCCCGCGGCCAGTG